GAGAGGGAGTGGCGTTGAAAGGACAGACGAGTTTGATGGAGATTAACCAGCCGTCTGTCGAGAATGGAGAAAGACCAGGAGGAAGAGAACACGAGGAAGAGGGCGAAGAGAGGAGGAGAGGGGGAAGAGGAGAAGGAGAAGAAGAAAGCTCATCATTGGCAGAAGACACATGGCTGAGGGAGATGATGCCGACGCCACCTTTCACCTCCTCGACTGATACTCTTTCGTCTTCGATTCAGCCAACCACTCCTCTCCCCGAGCTGGCATTGGACTCGTCGTTGTCGAAAGCGTCTGTGGTCCCAGGGTCTGTGGCAATCCCGACGGACGAACAAAGGGGAGGGGGAGTAGCAGGAGAAGCAGAAAGATCGGCATTTGCAGAACAGGCGCCACGTGTCACCTCGTCAAATCAATCTCTTTCTTCCTCCTTCCACCCAGTGACCTCTGACCGAAGGCTGTCCCAATCCCGACAATCGGGATTGGCTATGGCTACGGCAAAGGAGGAGGAGGAGGTGTCGAAAGCGTCCGTGCTACCGAAGGCTGTCCCACCAATCCAGACAATCTCCAATGAAGAGGCTGACGTATCTGGTCTATCATCGGGGTCGCCACCGCCGTTGACGTCATCTTTGTCATTCAGAAGAGCAGCGCCTCCAAGACTATCGCTTCACAAGATCAGAAGCGAGCAAATCCAACTAAGGATGAACGAGGACCAAGGGGATGCGACGTCATCGTCATCGTCATCACGATCATCATCATCATCATCATCATCATCATCAAATTTGATTGGCAGCAGAGACAATGAAGAGAAGGAATGGCAGACTGCTGCTGCAGAGGAAGATGAGAGATTGAGTCAGCCGTCAGCGGCGGGGCTTCCCGTGCATCGCAATCTCCTCCTCAGTCCAGATACGTCAATGACGGAAACGCCACCACCTCCTCCTCCTCCTCCTCCTCCTCCTCCTCCTCCTCCTCCCCCTCCTCCTTCCCTTACTACGGCTACAGCGACGACTCTTGCAAACCTCCTGTGTTTCCTCCCGTCGGAGGAGCTGCCCACTGCTTTGTCTAACGATGATTCCACCGCTCCTATTGCGCTATTAAGCCATCATCTTCCGCTCAATCGCAATTACGATGATCATGATGATTATGAGCGTTATGACCAGCTCGTTGATGGGACGGTGGGTATGAGGTCTGATAGCGGCGCTCTGGCTGCTGAAGCTGCAGCTCCCGTCTGCCGAGTTGCTGTGCCAGTAGTTCGACGGGGAATCGCGATCGGGATGGAAGCCAGCCCGCGGACCGTCGGGTTGTCGCGCGAAACGTCGGTGGCCGGCGAAGAGTCTGAGCAGCTTCTTCCTGATGGCGATGAAGATAATGGTCCCAGGTCGAGGAAGAGCTCAAAGTTGGCCCTGGTCGAGGAGTACTCAACTGAGCGGTTTCAAGTAATTGCACGCCCCTACAGTGATGCTGACGATAGTGATCAGGAAGAAGGACAAGAAGAGGAGGAAGAAGAAGAAGAGGAGGAGATGGTAGGAGAGGAGCGGGCGAAGGTCGCGCCGGACGAGATGACTGTCAGTTGTCCTTGTAGTTGTACATGCATGACGGGGCGATTTCCAATCTCGCCGTTGTTACACTCGGCGACCTATTCTCTTTGGGAGGAGGAGGAGGAGGAGGAGGAGGAGGAGGAGGAGGAGGAGGAGGAGGAGAAGGAGAAGGTGGACGCAGAGGAGGAGCAGGAGGAGGAAGAAGAAGAGAAGGAAGAGGGCGACGAGGAGAGGGGACAGGGGAAGACGCAGAAGGAGAAGGAGACGGAGACGGAGAAGGAGAAGGAGAAGGGGGAGGGGGAGGGGGAGGGGGAGGAAAAACTTTCTGCTCGTTGCCTTCCTTCTACTCTGCAGTCTGTCGATTCGACGTCAATCGCGGCCGCTCGTCACGGTTGTGATGATGTGGGTCATCCAGAGCCGTTGATCTTCGGCATGATAGGGCAATCCTTCGGCGAAGAGGTCGGCAATGTAAGGTCGTCGACCATCGCAGTTGCTCCGTCTCGACACTTCGTCGGAGGAGAAACTGTCGTCGGATGGAAGGAAGAAGCATTCGACACCCAACGGGACGCTTATGGGACCGAGATTGCGAGAGGCGAGCCATCGATAGGAGGAGCTGGCTGGCAGGCGAACGGAACTACCGGTAGGGTTGAGCATTTGAATGACCAGCAGCAGACTGCACGACCGTTTGTCGCCGTTAAGCCGGCGGCATCTGACGGCGAAGAGATGTCAGAAGCTTTGGACACAGCCGGCGACCGTCAGTCTAACGGTGAGGACAAGCCAGACGGAGGCGGAGCGATGGGAGCAGAGGCGGTAGGTGACCAAGACGAGGCAGCAAGCACCGGCAGTCCGCTTCCGCGTTCCGATCGCTCCGCTGATCGCTATCCCGATCGAGTTGCCATCGCCGGCCCCCACCCCGGCCCCGACAGGGAGGCCTCATTCGAACTACTGATAGCCCATCCCCATCCCGCTACTGGGTCCCTTAGCAATGGGTATTATGGCTCCAATCAACGTGGAAGTGGAGGTAGAGAAGAAGAACAACAGCAAGGAGAAGAAAAAGAAAGGGAAAAAGGAAAAGAGGAAGAAGGGAACGGTCGTCGAACACATGAGCTTTGTGGTGATGTGAATGATGACGAGTATGAGATGTTCCTCGATGCTGTTGCTGACGTGTTTGTGGAGCACCTGACCATGCGATCGTCTGCCAAGGAGTCCACCAGTCGGGACGCTGACACGTGGCAATTGTCCATGTCCGAATCCACGAAAGGTGGGAGAAAAAGAGAGGAGGAAGAAGACAAGACGCTGGCTGGTGAGAGAAGAGAGGAAGAAGACGAGACGCTGGCTGGTAAGAGAAGAAGAGAGGAGGAAGAAGACCTGACGCTGTTGGCTGCATCAGGGAAGGAAGTTAGACGACGTGCTTCTCCGTCGTCTCCAGAAGAGCACCAACCTGTCGTTGACGTCATGAGTAAAGAAGCTATCCCGATTGAGTCCGTCTCGACGACGACTGGAGGCGCTGCCAGGGAGCCGCCGTCCACGTGTCATCAGCATGACAGTGCCACGTGCCAACCCACAGGTGAGTCTCCGCAAGTCAGAAGAGCTTCTGAAACCAAACCAGATCTCTTCAACAGCTACCGTGCTAGACGTTATCGCAGTCAAAGTGATTTCCATTACACTTGTCCACCACTCGATCTTCTGCCACAGCACATCATCAACGGTCACGCTTTGCATCCCCCTCCTCCTCCTGCTGCTCATCATCATGCTCATCATCATCCTCAGCATCATGCTCATCATCATGCTCATCATCATGCTCATCATCATGCTCATCAGCATCATGCTCAGCATGGTGAAGATCCTCATGATCCTCATCATCATCATGATCATCATGCTGATCATCATGAATATGGTCACCAACCTGTCGAATCTGCAGTCGAAGAACAGTTCAGGCTGGGGGTTTGCCACTACCACGGAGTGGCGGGGCATGTTCCGAGGGACTTGAAGAAGGCAGAAGCATGCTTCAGACTAGCGGGATATGTCGGGGGAGACGACAGAGCTAGGGTCATGGTGAATAGGTGTATCTTAGCGGCGCGAAGCTCGACGGCTCAGGCTCGAGGTCGAGCGGAACGAGAACTGTCGGACGCTGCGCGTCGGGGCGTGCCCGGTGCTGCTGTCAGCTTGGCTCGGTCTTTCCTGTACGGCCGTCACCGGAGGGACCCTGCCGAGGCCGCCAAATTGCTCATCAAGGAAATCCAATCCTCCTCCTCCTCCTCCTCCTCCACGTGCTATTCTTCTTCTAAGCACGGTCCATGCGGCCGTGAAGAATTGCAGACTTCTTCTCCTCTCAGTTCTCTGACTTCCGTCGGTGGTGACGACAACAAGAAGACGGAGGAAGACAGCAACTCCAATCAGAAGGAGATGAAAGAGACCCGCACGGCGAAGGCGATGGCGGACAAAGCAAACCTGAAGAAGGACGACGAGGACAAGAAGGTTGAGGAGGAGGAGGAGCAGAAGAAGGAGAAGAAGGAGGAGGAGGCGGAGGAGGAGAAGAAGAAGACGGTGGAGCAAGAGCAGGAGAAGAAGAAAGAGGAGGAGGAGGAGGAGGAGAAGAAGAAGAAGACGGAGGAGGACGAGAGGGAGAAGAAGAAAAAGGAGGACGCGGAAGAGAAGAGGATGACACAGGAGGAGGGGAAGGAGGAGGAGGGGAAGGAGGAGGAGGGGAAGGAGGAGGAGGGGAAGGAGAAGGAGGGGAAGGCGGAGGAGGAGGAGGAGGGAAAGAAGAAGGTTGATGACGAGAGGAACGTAGATGGAGGACATAAGAATTGCAGCAGTTGTAGTAGCAGTAGCTGTAGGGAAGCCAAGTTCTTGCTCAGCCAGATTTACATCCATCATATGCCTGATAGACTGGAAGATGGCCGTCGTTTATTGCTGGAATTGGCAGCAGAAGAAGAATCGGGCAGCTCGTTGGCAGTTGCGGGGCGCATTGGTTTGGACATGGGGCTGGAATATCCGAACAGCATTATGTTCCTCGTGGGTGTGTGTTATCTCGACGGGCTGTACGGGTTCGAGAGAGACTGGCCCAAGGGATGTCGATTTGTCTTCGAATGCGCACGCAAAGGCCATCCCTTGGCCAAGATTGTAGTTAGCACGCTGTATGCTGAGGGGCTGCGAGTGGAGGTATCGGAGGCCAAGGCCAGGAACTGGGTGATGAGAGCAGCAGAGTGTGGGTGTGGGGAGGCAGAGACGTTGGCAGGTCTGGCGTTCAGGCACGGAAAGTTGGGCTGGCCTCAGGTTGAGCAGCTGGGTCTGTTTTTCCTGAGGAAGGCGGCGGACCGAGGCAACTGCTTCGCCCAGATCATGCTCGCTATGCACTACGAAGCTCAGAGCAACTTCGTCGAAGTTTCGCAGAAAGTACCCCATCACCAGAAGAAGCAGAGGCAGAAACATCGCCATCAGGAGCAGCACGATCATCCGCATCCCCACCACCACCACCACCAGCAACAGCAGCAGCAGCAGCAGCAGCGAGAGGGACGTCGGAAATGGTCCAGGGGGAATGGATCCACGGCAGCTTCTTCTGCCGCCGAAACCGCCGTCAAGAAATTCTCCAAAACCTTATCCAAAACCTTATCCAAAACGTCCAGAACCTTATCCAGAAACTTATCCGAGAAGTTCCCCAAAACCTTTCCCAAACGAAGCGTATCCGAAAAAAACGAAAAGTTTCCCAAAACGAACTTGTCCGAAAACTCGTCCGAAAAGATACCCAAAAGCTTATCCGAAACGTTATCCGAAAAGATACCCAAAACCTTATCCAGTAGTTTTTCGAAGAAAACACATGGGATATCCAAACGCCTCAAATCGTTGGTCTCTAGAGACTCTAAGAGTGCAGGAGCAGCAGCACGAGGAGGAGAAGAAGGTGTTTTTACGAGAAAGAAGTTCAGCAATGCCATCCCACCCTCCTTTTCCGCTAGCTCAATCTCCCTTCCAAGTTCTCCTCTTCACCCCGCTCTGCTCAGAGGTCAACCACCCTCGTCCCCTTCGCACACCATCCCATCGATTTCTCCACCCCCTCCTATCACCCACCTCCTCCTCTCTCCCATGAGATCGATAGGAAAAGCAACCGCAGCAGCAGCAGCAGCAGCAGCAACAACAACAGTAGGCGAAGGAGGAGGAGGAGGAGGAGGTGGTGTACCAACGAGTAGCCCCGTTATTGCACCCTCCCCGACGGATCTGCTTCTCTCCCCAAGGGCAGCGCGAGCAACGGTCTTAAGCAGCACCGCCATGGCCACCTCCATCCCTCCTTCTCCGTCCTACCTCCTCTCCCCAAGAGGAGTAGGGCCAGCATTATTTCCAGGGGTGCCATCCCCCATGACCATCCCCGCCTCCCCCTGTCACTACCCTCTTTCCCCTACACCAGGAGGAGGAGGAGGAGGAGGAGGAGGAGGAGGAGGTGGTTCGAGGAGGAACAGCATGACTGCGGCTGCCGGGGAGGACAACGCTGCCGCTCTCTCCTGGTATCTCAAGGCCTGGGCCAATGCCTCCTACCTGCTCGAGGACGTTGACGTCAACATTCCCCCCGACCGGCGCATATGGTCGACTCTGGCCATGAGCAAAACGACAACGACGTTCGGCGGCCCCTCGTCCGGCCGGCCGGGGTCCGGATGGGATTACAGGCGGATAGCAGGCGCGCTGGTGCGCGCTTCCACGAAGCATCTCGAGGCTGGTGAATATTCCATGAACTATCCTGATTGCCATTACTTCTACAGCAGCGGTCGGCTGTCGAGAGAGTGGGTCTTGCAGATGTGCAACAGGGCTGACCAGCTCATCGAGGAGGCTACGTGGAAGATCAAAAAAGCACATGGTGGCGGCGGAGGAGGCGGAGTGGGAGGAGGAGCCGGCGGAGGGGGAGGAGGAGGAGCTGCATGGGGGGGTCATTATGCGGTGGACTGGCTTGTCAAGGGATGGAGAGAGAGTGGACGTGGACATCTGTTAGACTACTACGAGACGTTTAGCAGCATTGTTTGTCGCGCATACGAGACTGCAACGGCAGTGCCCGGAGGCCATGGCCGAGCCACACTGCCAACGACAATCGAGTTCTGCTCGTTGGCTGTCGACGTGCTGACTCGTGTCATTGCACCTGGCCAACTGGGATCTGCGTGCGCATCCTCTTCTCCCTCCTCCTCTTCTTCCCCTCCGGGCGCCTACTGCTCTCCTTTCTCCTCTTTCTCTTCCTGTTCCTCTCCCACCTCCTCCATCGTCATCGCCATCGCTGACGTAGCTCGGGCGACCACCGGTGAGGAAGCTTCCACGTGGCTCGAGGCTGAGAGCATTGCCGCCTTGGCTCGTGGGTCCAAAACCGCAGTTGACGTCATCATAAAAGAAACGGCATACTGCCTGTCTTTCATTCGTAAATCCGACATGGACCAAATGGATAAGATGAAGTCGCTTTTCCAAATGGCGGGAATGGGAACCGGGACCCCGGCGGGTGGTGGCGCTGCAGGCAGCCATGTGCCACCGCAGCAGGCTCCTCCTTCGAAGCAGGAGAAGGGAGACAGGCTAGCACGAGCGAAACGGGGCAAGAGCACCTCGCCCTCCACCCCGAGGAGTCGAGACACACCCGGCACCTGCACCACCTCCTACTCCTTCACCCAGATCCCTTCCTCCGGGCCCGACGACGCCAGCTCGACGGGGAAGAAGAAACGACCAGCCTGGCTTGGCGCGCTGCTTGCAGCGCGCAAGATGATCGAGCGAAGCTTCCACGTGGCAGGTGCGACTGGCTGTCCCGACGCTACTGCTCGTAATCCACAGACAGAGAAACCTCACCCCTCCACGTGGCCTTTTCCACCTCCTCCCTCTCGCCCTCCTCCTCCTTGTCCTCTTTCTCCACGTCATGCTCCTTCCCCTGCTCCTTCTCCTTCTCCTCCTCCTCCTCCTCCTCCTCCTCCTTCTCCTTCTCCTCTTTCCGCTTTCTCTTCTTCTTCTGCTTCTTCATTTTCTTGTTCCTCTTCTTCTTCTGCTGCTGCTGCTGCGGCTTCTGCTTCTAAGCTCTTTCCCTCTTCTTATTCGTTTGGTGCGCGGCAGACGAAGCCTCCAGCTCGCGATTGGATGGCCGTGGCTATGGCGGTACTGGATGCACTGCAGCTGCTTACGGTAGCGACACGTGTCAGGATATCAGCAACGTCGACTGGACATTGCAACGATGGAGATACGGTGACCATAGCGAAGATCTTGCGTCAGAGAATGACCATGGCGGCCTTGCGGATGATGCAGGAGGAAGAGGAGGAGGAGGAGCTGGAGGTGGAGGATGACGAGGATGATGAACAATAAGTTTGGGAGAGGAGGGTGTGATACGCGATTTTCTTTTTTTTTTCCCTTTTAACGGTTGATTAATTTTAGCGATCGTTTTTTTTTTTTTTTTGAATGGGATCGGGAGGAGGAGGAGAGGGGGGAGGAGGAGAAGGAGGAGGAGGAGGAGGAGGAGGAGCGGGGGGAGGAGGAGAGGGAGGAGGAGGAGGAGGAGGAGGAGGAGGAAGATGAACAATAAGTACAGTGGTGAATAGCGTGTGATAGGGGAATAATTTTAGTGCTCGGGATTTTTTTTTCCCTTTTTTCCCCTTTTTCTGAAGTGGGATGGGGAATTATGACTAGGTAGAGTAACATATAGAACAATAAATAAATAAATAGATTCATTTTGTTAAAAAAATGATCTTTTATGGTGTAATTAAGTCTAGTTCCTTGATGAGAGAGTAGATAAAGTAGATCAATCATTATCCCGAATATCGATCAGTTTCCCATTTGGCATTTGCCCCCCCCTTCCGGGTTTTTTTATGTATATGATTGTAGATATGGTCTAGGTTCTGTTTTTGTTTGAAGACGCGTTCCCACTGCGGAGTTGTATATATAGATTATATATAGATGTAGATTTTTTTATTTATTTTTTTTGTTACGAAAATAACGTTCTATTATCAGTGCTAGGGATAGCCAGGTCGTCTTCCCCCCTCCCAATCAGATTTAGATATTTAGAAATTAAAAGATTTTAGGTATAGCTATAGCTTTTCTTCTCCTTCTTCTTCTTCTTCTTCTTCTTCTTCTTCTTTTTTTTTTTTTTTTTTTTTTTTTTTTTTTTTTTTTTTGGTGTGTGTGTGTGTGTGTGTGTGGTCCCGATGGACCACGGATCAGATATTAAACTGATCAGGTAACAGATAGTACACTTGATCTATTTTTAGCCAAAAGGCCGAGAAAGGTATTGTTTTTTTTGTTTTTTTTTTGTTCGAGTTAAAGTCGATTTTATTTGACTCAGAGTAATTTGATTTTACCTCTGAAATCAATTTAGAATATTTGACCAATTAATTTCTTTTCGTTTTTAATTAATGTGAAAGCAGAGGTGATCATCATAATTTTGGAGAAAACAAGCTCGTGTCATCTGTTTCGGAAAAAAGTCTTTTTTTTGGGAATTCAAATTTTGTTGTATCATTTGCAGGAAGGTTCGTTTTGTTTTTTGTTTTTTTTGTCATTACCAGACGTTAGTTTTCTACTGCTAGAGATTCTTTTTTCCCCCTGTTCAACAAAAAAACAGGAACTTTATTAAGCCTTTTTTTTTTGAAGGGGGTAACCCTCTCTCTCGTTTTTTTTTTTGTTTTTTTTTTTTAATGGTAACCCCCTTACATAATCATTTCATCTGTCTGGTTTTCATCAGCTTTCTCCTCTCCTTTTTTTTTTTGCTTCAACTTTCAATGGTTCTCTTTTTCCTGTTTTTTGTTCTTTCTTTTTTTTACTTTCAATTTGCCGACTTGTCTACGTTGAGCTTGTCGTGGTGACTTGATCTTCGTACGCTTGTACATCGTCTTACGTGTACATCCTTTCATCATACCTCTCGTCAGCATTGGAACTCTTGGTGATCTGCTTACTACCAGCTATATGTGTCTATCATTCTTTTTCGTTTTTTTATAAAGAAAACAACTTTCAATTAAATCCAGGAAGCCGGCCCGGTGAACCTCACATGAATACTGCAGTCAAATGGGGCTGAGAGGTACTCCTGACCAGTCCATCCCCAACCACGGCCGTCCAACAGCAGAGACCCTGGTCGCCCCTGAACAATAAGACCCAAGTTGCAAAATAAAAGAAGCAGCAAATAAAAAACCGAAAGGCAGCCTTCCTATAGTAGGGACCCTATCCTTTTAAATGTCCAAACGGTCAACTAATCAACTTTTTCTTTTCTTTTTTTTTTGGGTCAACTAATCAACTTACTAACTAGGTTACCAGATGTCCGATCGGAGACGTTTCCCGGACGTCCGGTGAGGGAGTTGTCTGGAATCTTGGACAAATCATTTTCTCCAAAATAAATAGAGAATTTTTTTTTTTTTTTTAAATCGGGAGGGGCTGCGCTACATGAGGTAACCCCATAAAAAAACATTTCAGCTCATTTGGAGCAAAAAAAAATAAAATGCAAAACATGGGAAAAAGGGGTTTGGGGGGGGTAGGTTGGGGTGCGTGGTTGAAATGGACCCCAACTGTTTGGGTGAAATTGACACAGAAATCTTTGACGATTTTTATCTTTTTTTCTTGTGGGCTCAAATGACCCACAATTTTGTGGCATATACCTCATGTGAGGGAGAACCCAAAGAAAACATTATATATATACAGAGTTGCCAGGCCGAACGTACGGAGGCCCCTAAGCTGACCCCCGAACGTTCGGGCGTCCGGGTCCCCGTACGGGGCCCAAACTCCAAGGGGTTCGGACCCCGCAAAAAAATATTTTGGTACCTAAAACTTATTATTTTTTCCTGATTTTGTTTTTGTGAGATCTCTGTTATGTAAGCTACCTGTCTCTCAATTTTGAAGTCATTCTGTGGAGCCAAACAATAATGAAAAATCGGCAAAGATGGTGGTGTCAAAACTTGCTTTCCCACTTACTATTTTTTTTTTTTTTCTTTTCACTTTTTGTTTTCCCTTTATTTCGGGGCCTGAAAAAAATTATTATTTTTTCAAACTTTATTTGTAGGTTCTCTATTATGTAAGATACATATGTATAAAATTTCATGGCATTTGACAAAGCCAAAAAAAAATAAAAAATCGCCAAAGATGGCGGTGTCAAAAACTTGCTCGCCCACGCAATAATTTCATTCTCGTTTTATTTTTTCTTATTTTCATTAATATTATTTATTTTTCATATTTGATTTTTATTTCCAATTTGGTAAGGAATTTGGATTTACTGTTGAGGCAAATGTTGTTTAGTTTATTATTCTGCATGACATATGTTTTTTTCAGAACTTTTGGAAACTTTTTTTTTTTCTTTTTTTTTTTTTTGGTTCCACAATCGGCCGAACGTCCGAACGCGTCGAGAGGGGGTCCCAAACGTTCGGGCGTTCGGGTTCGGGTGTTCGGCCCGTCCCGAACGACGGCAACCCTATATATATATATATATATATATATATATATATATATATATATACATTGGGTTCAGCCTCCTGATGAGTCGGTGAGTCGGTGAAACTCCGACGAAACAGTTTGTCACAGCCCCTCGTTTGTTGTCCTCTTCTCTCTCTCTGCCTACAGTTTACCGGGCAGTTCTGTTTGTGACGATTTACCGGGCAGTTTTGTTTGTGACGATATATATATATCGTCACAAACAGAACTGCCCAGTAAACCGTAGGCAGAGAGAGAGAAGAGGACAACAAATGAGGGGCTGTGACAAACTGTTTCGTCGGAGTTTCACCGACTCATCAGCAGGCTGAATCCTCAACAGTCTGCAAAATCCCCTCACTGATTACACTGTAAATGATAATCTACCTTAACCAAAATCAAAGTAGACTATGACTCACCCACACCAGATGGAAAACTCTACARACTGTCGGYTCACACCCCATCACAAGCCAGCAAAACATCCACGAAACAAAGGTCTGTCACAGCCAAAAAATACACTTCAGACACGCCGCTGGCACTAGAGGTATATATATATATATATATATGACGAGATATATATATATATAGTTTGTCACAGTCCCTCGTTTGTTGTCCTCTTCTCTCTCTCTGCCTACGGTTTACCGGGCAGTTCTGTTTGTGACGATATATATATATATATATATACAGGGTTGCCAGGCCGAACGTACAGAGGCCCCTAAGCTGACCCCCGAACGTTCGGGCGTTCGGGGCCCCGTACGGGGCCCGAACTTGAAGGGGTTCGGAACCCGCAAAAAATTACTTTGGCACCCAATTTTTTTTTTTTTCCTGAAGTTTTTTTTGTGAGTTCGTTGTGATGTAAGGTATCTCCCGCTTAATTTTGAAGTCATTCTGTTCAGCCAAAATAAAATGAAAAATCCTCAAAGGTGGTAGTGTCAAAACTCGCTTGTCCACTCACAAATTTGTTTTTTCTCTCTTGTGACTTTTTGTTTTTCCTTTATTTCGGGGCATAAAACAATTTATAATGTTTTCAAGCTTTATTTGTAGATTCTCTATTATGTGATACACATATATAAATTTTCATGGCATACGTCATAGCCAAAAAAAAAAGAAAAATCGTCAGAGATGGCGGTGTCAAAAACGTGCTCGTCCATTCAATAATTGAATTCTTGTTTTATTTTTCCTAATTTTTATTATTATTATTTATTTTTAGAATTTGATTTTTATTTCAAATTTGGTAAAGAATTTGGATATAACGTTGAGGCAAATGTTGTTTAGTTTATTCTTCTGCATAACGTATACTGTTTTAAGATTTTTTGGATTTTTTTTTTTTTTTTGGATGCGCGTTCGACCGAACGGCCAAACGCGTCGAGAGGGGGTGCCGAACGTTCGGGCCTTTGGCCCGTCCCGAACGCCGGCAACCCTGTATATGTCGGACATCCAGAGGGGTCCCGGACGTTCGCCCTGGTAAGTTAGCTTACTAATCAATTACTAATCGACTACTCAAACAATTCAGACCACATTTTGATATTATTTGGTAAAATCCCAGCACCCAATCATCCACTGTAATAACCTACCTTTATACATAGTCATATACTTCTCCCTACCTAAGTGAATCTCACATATGTACACAAAATTTGAAGTTCAAATTTACTTTACGTCACACGTTCAAAATGTCACACAAAGAAGTTGGAAAAAAAAAAGATGGGGAAGGCTCCCTCCTGCAAGGTAACCGTACACAGGCCATCAAAAGCTTCCCATCTAGTACGGAACCATTTCACTGATTTGGCCGTACAACCTTTCTTCTGCACCTGGAATTCCCAATCTGCCGATATTGCCAATTTGATGTTACATTTAACCGCCGCCCTGATCATAAGGGCGGTGAGCCATTCCCCCCTGCGAACTGCTGAGTTTGGAAGGTTCCAAAGAGTCGTAAGGATAGCACCACGAATCATTTCCTCAGCGTGGGAGCGACAAATCATGGCTGCTCTCGTCTGGAAGC